GTCATGTATATACCTCTCGACATGTTTTATTTAACGAAACAAGTTTTTCTTTTCAGCATTTTCAGGTCTGATCCTTTCCGGAGTATACTGAAATAAATTTCTATCATGTGGTATATGCCTCTCATTCTCCAGCACATGCCACTGAGGCCCACACAGGATATTTTCCAAGTCTGGCAGCTCCATCATTCCACAAGCTTCCAGCACCTTCATCCTTTCACAAAGCTTTTGGCACCTCTATTCTTCCACAAGTCGCAGTCCCCACACCACGACACAGCACGGGTCTTGGCCGCGCAACACCTTTAGTCCACATAGCATGCCTTTTTCGGTGTCAGTCCAACCCCTGCTCCATACATATTCCAGAAGACATCGCATACCACCTATGTAACCTGTGTAAGCACTGCTAGTCCTTGCTCCCCTTCCCACTACGGACCTAGCTTCTCCACCACATATCGAACCAGCAATGCCACCCCCTACTCATCTCATGCGCACAAGTATGCGTAATGGCATCTCTCAACCTAAAAACCGTATCGAAGACACAGTTTGATACCTGGTCCCTCGTGCTCTTTTCCCTGTCATTGATGATATTAAACCCACTTGTTTTTCTCAAGCTTCCAAAAATCCAGCATGGTGCAAGGCAATGTCTGAAGAAATCAATGCCTTTCTACAGAATCAGACTTGGTCTCTTGTTCCTCAATCTCCCACACATATTCCAGTATGTTATAAATGGGTCATCTGCATCAAGCATCACTCTGATGACATTATTGAACGCTACAAGGCTCGCCTAGTGACTAAGGGATTTCACAACGCCATGGCATTGACTACTTTGAGACCTTCAGCCCTGTTGTCAAACCAGCCACAATTCACACTGGTCTTAATCTTGCTGTTTCCAGACGATGGTTCTTACGACAACTCAATGTCAAAAATGCCTTCCTTTAAGAACATGTATATATGGTTTAACCCATGGTTTTGTGAACCTTGCTCATCCCACTCATGTCTGTAAACTTCACAAGTCTCTTTATAGCCTCAAATAGGCTCCACGTGCATGGTTTAATCATATCAGCACCTTTCTCTTATCCCTTGGTTTTTTAAGAAGTTTGGCAGACTCTTCACTTTTTATCTTTCAGCAAGGATCTCACACCATCTTTCTCCTCATGTATGTTGATGACATTGTGATTACTGGCAGTGATTCCCCTCTTTTATAGAATTTTATATATGTTTTAAGCTGCTAATTTGACATCAAGGACCTTGGTCCTCTAAGTTACTTCTTGGGCTCTTCATCTCAATCAACTTAAGTATGTTCATGATTTGTTACACAAAAGTAATTTCCTACATGCCAAGTCTGCTTCCATTCCTCTTGCGGCCAAGTTTGTTCTAACTGCCAGTGATGTTTACTTGCTCGCTTCTCCCACAGAATACCATGAACTTGTGGGGAGTCTTCAATATTTCACCCTTACCCGCCCAGATATTTCCTTTGCTGTCAAAAGGATTCTCCATTATGTTAAAGGCACCATTGACTTTGGCCTCCATTTTACACCCCAAGGTCCTTCCACTCGTCTCATTGTTTACTCAGATGCCGATTGGGCTGGGTGCCCAGACTCCAGCCATTCGACAACTGGCTACCTCATCTGCTTGGGCTCCAATCTTATTTCCTAGTGCCCCAAAAAGTAGCCAACGGTTTCGCGCTCCAGGGCGGAATCTTAGTACCGTCTGATGCATGTGCCGAATCTTCTTGGCTTTGTTCTTTGTTACATGAACTGGGTGCTCGACTGCTTTTCTAGTTCCCATGCATTGTACAATCTCAACATAACTTATATGGCGGCAAACACGGTATTCCATGCTTGTACTCGCCACATTGAACTTGATTACCACTTTGTTCGTGAGAAGGTGGCCCTTGGGAGTCATTAATCTGCTTCACCCCCTCTGTTGATCAACTTGCGGATCTTCTCACTACGCCACGACACCATCTCTTATGTTCCAAACTTGTTCGTCCAAGAAAGAAGAATCTAAAACATATTCTTCTTAATCACAATAGTTAACTTGCTCTCCAAATATTTTGTATTTACTGTCATTCAAGGCTTTTACTATTTATATCTTTATTATGCAATTATAAATATTATAATATTTACACAAAGAAATACAACTTGATGAATTGAAACTCTTACAAATAACATAAGTAAAAATTACAAGATAAATGCGAACAGATACTCATAAACATAACTACTCGTGTACTACACATATCAAGTAGTAAATTCGAAAGCCAAAACTAGTTACTGTGAATTTTGTACAGCTCATCTTATGTTCAGTGTCTTTAGTACCGAATCATCTGTGCGCACTGCATACATTCACAACATGATTGCTATGCATGGATGCATGGATGCATGGATGCATGCAGAGGCAGGTGTAGAGGAGCCATTAACATCCATATATTCATAACTTTGACAGGAAGATAGGGCGCCTGATCCGCTTATGGCGTTGGCTGCATTACTCATGTGAAGACAACCATCACCCTACATTAATATCAATAATAATATTAATATTAATATTAATATTATACACCGCCAAAAGATCCGTCTGCTTCTGCTTGCCAATGGCCAACAACATAAATCTTGGGGCTTGTTGGGCCCCACCCCCACACGCTATATGCTCACATTTTATATGAAATATAGCTTGATCTCCGCTTTGACTTTTTTGATTCATAGTTTTTAGGGTCCCTTCGTCTGTCCGTTCCAGCCATGGGAAGAAGATGATCACCTCTTTTACGGGATCAAGCAAAAGATTGTCCTACTATAATATTACTCTCTACTGTACTTTCAAGCACTGCCACTTGACTTGTCAAACTAGTTGAAGATTACCAAGTTGACTGTAGTTTATTTTTAGAGTGAAATGTTTTACTATCTAACTAGGTACATATTTATCTGATAATAGAACGTTACCCGTTATTTATATTAAGTTAACTTAGTTACAATATGAATCTAATTGTAATTTGGTGCTGACCCATTGAAACACTTTGAATTAGCTGGATCATGAGATAGAGATCTATATGGTCCCAGTTGCCCACATTGATAGCCGATTAATGGTCCAGAAATGGCCACCACCATCACCACAACTGGATCTCTTCACTAAGACTGGCCCCTGCAATCTATGAGTGATACGGACTCACCAAGCCACGAACCTAAATTCATCATTTTACTGACAATTTCATGGGCCTACCGGATTTGTTTAAGCAACCCTTTTTAACAAGAGAGAATATTTCCAACTTAATTAATAGGAGATTAGAATGATTGGGAGAAAAAATAATAGGAGAATGATGAGATATAATAAGGATGAGAGCGGGACACGTGGAGGGAGAATTTAGCTCAAATTAGAAGAGATAAACGTGCAGAGGAGATAAACATGTGCAAATCTAACAGTTCTCTTTTGGTCCAATTGAAATCTAAAGGATAGTTGGTCCAATCCAAAATTAGAAGGTGAAATGTTTCTTTCAGTTGTATCGCAATGGAAGGGAGGAGGAGGGGAGGGAGTACTTAGAAGAAAATAACATAATTAGGATCGTGATTTGTCCTCACAATCATACATTGAAAATGGCAATGTGCGCAAAATCCATCAAAAGAGGACATCTGCAAAAGAAGTTGTCAAATCTAGTAGATACGTATCTCCTCCCAATTCAAGCAACCTAACCTAGGCCTAACATGCATTCCAAATAAGAAGAATGTTAAGTAACGTGATTTGCGAGTTACCAACTGTGAAGAATGTTAAGTAACGTGATTTGTGAGTCGTAAACTGTTGATGCATGTGATTTATATAATACATTTCTTTAGCATTGTTTGAATTTGTATTATGTTAAGTAAATTCCGAATACATGCGATTATTTTACTCTTAAGTATTAAGAATTGAGAACAACGGTGATATGATGAAGTATAGTCAAATAATATTTGTTGGGATCTTTGACTTTGTCATGGGTGGCATCATGATTGATGATGAGTGAATTCAGCGATCCAAAAGACTAAAAACCAGCGAAGAGTGCGTGGTGTAGCAGAGCATGGCAGGGTCCCGTCATCAATTCGTAGCCCAAGAGCATGATGACAAAAAATAATAGTATGACCAAACTACCCTCCAAGAAGTGAGAGGGAGCCGAGCCCTTGGAGGGCATTTTAGGGAAGAATGTGCATCGGGGAGCGTGGGGAGTCTGGAATTTCTGGCCCCTTCTCTCTGGGCATGTAGTAAAAGTAGGGTTTAGCGAGGGAGGAAAGGAGGAGGCCCTTGCCTGGGACTCCGGGTAGCAGAAAATGAAAGTCAGGACTCTGCAATTTCCAAGGCACTCACTCACTCTCCCAGGAGTGACCAAACTCTAAAGACCACAACATTTTTATTTATTTATTTTTCATCATCCAACTTCTTTTTAATTTGAGATTACCAAAAAAACCTTATGTTAATGTTAAAATGTTATGCATTTCATTTCATGTGCATGCAAGCATAATGCATTTGATTGACGCATGCAATGCAATGCAACACATGTCGTTTGTTGTGACATAAAGTTTCTCAGACCGACACCAAAACCAAACAATTAGGAAACCGTCCTAAATTGTTTGTGATGAAATTCCTAAATTGTGCCTCTACACGCAGCTCCATTACATAAATACCCCCAAATAAAAAGACAAATATGTAATTAAAACTAGTTTAGAGTTTGATAATTGATACCAATCAATTCATAAGTGTTCAAGTACATGCACAAAACACCGTACGTATTTTAAGAGAGTAGGAGGAAGAAAAGTAACCTAGTCGGCAGGGGCATAAAATAAAAATAAAAATAAAAAAGATATATAAATTAGGTAGCTACTCACAACACAAACATGAATTTGTCAAGTTTTTTGAATTTTAATGACGTTTTGTAATTTCGCATAATTTTGTATATTTTCCGACGTACCCTCGTTTTAGCTCCCCAGCTGCTATAAATATCGGTGCTGCCTTCTCATAAGTCTCATAATCAGATTTCAGAAGCATTTAAGTTACTCTGCTGCCTCTCTTTACCAAAAGGGCTAAAAGGCATCTTCTTGGTTTTTAAACAGTATGGAAGAATCTGTTAAGCTCAGGAGGGATAGCGCCATTCTTGGTTTGGTTTTAGACCATGTATTGCGCTATCCATCCTGAGTTTCATGGCTTCTTCTTGCTCTCTCTCTCTCTCTCTCTCTCTCTCTCTCTCTCTCTCTCTCTCTTCTTTGCAGCCAAGCCAAGGGATTGAAACTTGTGGCCTTGTAAGTATATGTGTGTGTGTGTGTGCATGCTGCTTGAAAGATGAAACATCTGCAGAATCAGTTTGGTTTTATGTTAATTTTGTGCTTTGCTAGCTGTTTGTTTAAAATGATGAGCCCAGTACTTGGTTTTGCAGTTCATTTTTCTCTCTTCCCTTTCATCAATCTTGCTCAGTTTAAATCTCTCTTTGTTTAGAAGCTACATCTTTCTTGAAGCTTTCCCAGAACCACAAGGAAAAAAACTAATTTTCTCATATTTGCTTGGTTTCCTTCCTTGTATACTCATTGTGAGCCTTTAAAAGTAGATAAAAATATACCAAAAGAAGACATGAGATATTGAAAAACTTATCCATAGTCACATGTTAAGGTGGGGCGAAGGATGTTGACCACTTCCAACCTGGTGATGTTATAAGTCAGGGTCTCAGATATTTCTCTTTCATTTACCTAAACTTTAGCTAAAAGGTTGGTCCATTTTCGTACGTTTAGATATTATTATTTTTCCATTTCAGGTAAAAATAGTTTCCACTTCCTTTGTTTGCTGCTTCCACCAAAATATCATTCATTCACTCATCACTTGCTTAAAATTTTCTTTTATTTTCCACCTTTTCTTTCCAATGATTCTGTTTTTCCTATGTTGGATTTTTGTGTATCTTTGGCTAAAACTGCTCTTCACATTTAGAAATCAGAAAACTGCTTTTTGTGCAAAGATGGATTTTAGTGTGACTTGAGACTTGCCAGGTAGCTTTTGATTTTCCTAATCAAATAGAGAGCTGTGGTTCTGTGTTGGGTTAAAAACTGCAATGTCATTACTAATTGTTGTGTTATTTGTCTCAAAACATCAAAGGGTTATCTACTTTGGGATCAATGATTGCAGGTTGTTGCAATATCGGGAATGAATGAGAGGATTGAGATGAGGGCCAACCATGAGTAGAATTAGTAGCCAAGGCTCTTTGGTCAAGCAGATTTTTACACTGTGAAACACTTACATGAAACGAAGATATCACCATTTTGATATTCCTAGCCAGTATGTCACGAGTGATAATTTCGATTGATCGGGTATATCAAAACAGTGCTATTCCTGTTTCATACAAGTTTGGGTATAGCAAAACAGTGCTATTCCCGTTCTATACAAGTTTTTTTTGTAATTTGAGAGCTTTGGCAGAAGCTTCACTTGTCCAATCTACCTGTTCAAGTTTGACTTAATGTACCACAAGGTGGAAGGAAAAGTACTTCTTTTTATGCATTGTACTGGATATGAAATCAATTTTAGTTATGGACCTACCAATCTTATTTAAATGCATAGGAAAATGTTTTATAGTTTAAGTGGTTAAGAGCATCTTCAAGAGAGTTTTTAAATTTTAGCTAAAATAGCTAAAAAGCCACTATAGCAAATTACTTAAAAAGTGTTTTTTCTAGCAATGTTCTCTATTTTGGTTAATCTCTAATATTGTATTATTTCTCTCACCTCCTCTCTAAATTAAAAGTTCATTAAAAAAATCAAAAAGTAAGGTGAGAGAGGGTTGTGTGCCTAGGGAGAGAGAAGAGGAAGAAATGAAGAACCTTCAATTTCTCTCTCCTCCTCTCTAAATGTAGAGAGCCACCAAACTTAAATAGAGAGTTCCACAAAATAGAGAGTCAGATAGCAAGTCTGTTGGAGCTGGATTTTGCCCTTATGCTAGCCAAAATGGCTAAGGATCAGAGTATAACAATTCTACTAGAGATGCTCTCACAACAGTTATCTATGCACCCGAAATCATATGTTCAAATACCCCCTCCCCTCTTATCGCTTGTATCAAAAAATATGTGTAAGGACAAAACTTGAAGATTATGCACCAAAGCTAAAATAATATAAAAGCAAAACAAAGGCCAAAAAAGAAAAAGGAAAAATAGCATTGTTTAATTTCATGACCCATTGGGCTTCAATTCATGGCAACCATATACTTTTTAGCCGCGCCGCAGACCCGTTAGGCCCAACAAGAGATATTTTCATGAGCGCCAAATCTAACCGTTAAAATCGTAAATAAGATAAAACGACACAGAAACATATGGTTGCAGGCCTTCTTCAACATCACACACTGTTTCTTCATAAAAAGAGTCTTCGTTTTGTCTGTTTAAGAAATTTGAAAATGGCGAGTGGTCTCTCACACCACCTTCTCTGTATATATTCCTCAAAAACCAACCCACCATTTTCTAAAACACAAGCACTGATCAGAAACCCAAAACGTTCCATTGGTCTCCGGACCCTCCTCAAGTCATCGTCTCCCAAAAACACCAACACTTCACTGCAAAGCTCGCTGGAAGAACCAAAGCCCATTGTCACTCCTAAACGGACCAATCGCCCCGGCCCAAACCCACCTTCCAAATTGTCTTATTTCGACTCCTTCTTCATTCGGCTTCGCCGTTTAAGGTAAATTAGATTGTAATCTTATGCTATTTACCCAATTGCAAATTCATGAGAGACCAGTTTTGGTGTTCTGTTTGTTTTTGTAAGATGGTATTTTGAATTTTGAATTTTGAATACACAATTGCAGAGATGAAAGTTTTATGTTTGATGGGATTGCGGTGGACATTTTGTCAATTGCTTTGCCTGCAGCTCTGGCTCTGGCTGCTGACCCCATCACCTCTTTGGTTGACACAGCCTTTGTTGGGCATTTGGGTAAAGCTTTGTTCTTTGGTGTTGCTTAATTAATAAAGGATTGAGCTTGTTTTTTAATTAATAGTAATAGTATTGTGTTTGTGTGTGTGTGTGTGTGTATGTTTTTTGTGTTGTGTAGGGTCTGTTGAATTGGCAGCAGTTGGGGTGTCTGCTTCAGTATTCAACTTAGTTTCTAAATTGTTTAACGTTCCATTGCTCAACATCACCACATCTTTTGTTGCTGAAGAGCAGGCATTGGCTATTAAGGCCGAGGATAGTTCAAATTCAATTGGTCCTGATGGTAATTATTAATTCCTCTAGGAAGCCTTGCATATTTGTTGTTTTTTGTTCATTGCTTTAATAAAAAAATGTGTGTGTGTTTTTTTTTATATAAAAAGATTGCCAGGGTGATAGCCAAAGCAAGAAGCTCCTTCCCTCGGTATCAACTTCGTTGGCTCTTGCTGCCACCATTGGCATTGCTGAAGCTGTTGCACTTTTTCTTGGGTCGGGTGTGTTGATGAATGTCATGGGTATACCTGCTGTATGTCGTACTTAACCAACTATGAGCTTATGTGATGAATGCTAAATTATTACATATCTTAATTTCTTTATTTGTTTAGTTAGTTTTTACTGTGGCATTTTTACTAGTGTACAGCAAACATTTTTAGTCATTTTCTGCAAAATATAGACTTTGTCACTGTGTTAAATGAAAGTCTGATAAGGATGGAAGAGAAGGATTAGCATATTTAATTAGGCAAAAATCTTAACTGTGGGATGTGTATTATTTATGCATTATGCAACTGACTGATGATGTTTCTGTAGTTTTTAATTGAGGTTTGCTATTGTTATAGGATTCACCCATGCGAATACCTGCCGAGCAATTTCTTGCCCTAAGGGCATTTGGTGCTCCACCCATTGTAATTGCACTTGCTGCACAAGGCACATTTCGTGGATTTAAGGACACGAAGACACCACTGTATGCCGTTGGTAAACTTACTATGAGTTGCCTTGTCCTAGACATATCTTTTATAAGTATTTTCTAGCTGATTAAATGACCAAGTCTGCTTTTTTTTTTCCTTCCCATTTTTTAAATCTCAGTTGCTGGCAACGTACTTAATGCTATATTGGATGGGATATTGATATTTATTTTCAATTTTGGAATTCGCGGTGCCGCTATTGCTACGGTGATTTCTGAGTACGTCAATGATGTGGTAAACTTAATTATACTGGTGTATTTTGATCTTGATGTTCCTATTATAAATTTTGTCAAATTTTCTCTCTAACAGAACTTTTTATGTCTATTTCTTGCAAGGTATTTGATCGCTGCTATTCTTCTGTGGAAGTTGAATAGCAAAGTGTTCCTTGTCCCTTCTTATATTGATGGGAGAAGAATCATAGGTTACCTTCAATCTGGTAGGTTTTTTTAAAAACTTGCTTATAAAATGGAGACTATAGAGATGTTTTCTTCAATTTCTAAATATGTTTGTTCTATTTTCCAGGGGGTCTTCTTATTGGCAGAAGCTTAGCAGTGGTGTTAACTACGACACTAGCCACATCCGTGGCAGCTAGAGAGGGCCCTATACCTATGGCTGGTCATCAGATTTGCATCCAAGTTTGGTTGGCAATATCTTTGCTTACAGACGCTTTAGCACTTGCTGGTCAGGTGTGACTTTCTTGACTTTACAAGTGTCATATCGCATATATGATCAAATTACACAGAATGAATTGGAAAAAATTATCATTGTGATGTTGTTTCTTCAGACACTTCTTGCCAGTGGTTACTCCCAACAAAACTATGACCAAGCACGCCGAGTTATATATAGAGTTCTACAGGTTGAAATTCTTCTCTTTTTAACTGTTTCATTCTCATCGTTGACTGATATCCTCTTTTTCCTCCACCTCTTTTATGGCATCAACACCATGGCTAACCTGAATCTCCATTTGCCGTTCTTTGAATTTCAAACAGCTTGGCCTGGTGATGGGAACTGGTTTGGCAGTTATATTGTTCATCAGTTTTAAACCGTTTTCTAGCTTATTCAGCACAGATCCACAAGTTCTTGCAATTGCATGGTCTGGTATATTGGTAAGGAACTTCATATCTGAATAGTTTACATGTTGGAAACCTATGTACCTGATGTGGACACTGTTTTTCAGTTTGTTGCTGGATCTCAGCCAGTAAATGCTCTAGCATTTGTTCTTGACGGACTGTACTATGGAGTTTCAGATTTTGGATATGCTTCCTATTCGATGGTATTCCCTGATCCTATCATGAACAGTAATCAGTTATACTATATATTGTTCTCTCATCTCTCATTTTCTTTTCATGAGTAGGTACTTGTAGGACTGATTTCTTCAATCTTCATTCTTGTTGCTTCTCCTGCTTTTGGCCTTGCTGGAGTCTGGACTGGGTTGTTCCTCTTCATGGCATTGCGTGTAATAGCTGGAATGTGGAGGTAAATAAATTTCTGTATGAACTCAAGTCACACATGAGGTTGAGGACCACCTAGTTTTTTCTAGGCTAAACGGTCATAAGAGTGTAATGCTTCTCACTTCACTATAGTTTTCTCTGGCTATCAAAAGCTGAAATATGTGCAACTTGATTTCTCCCTGATAAATATTATTCCACTCCAGGTTGGGCACAAAGAGTGGACCATGGAAATTGGTCTGGGATAAGAGGAAGCTGGAAAGTTAGTGTGACATAGGCTCAATCTCCTAGAAAAGGAGAACACAAACTAATCAGGGGATTTCGAACACAAGTAACTGCTCCAAAGTTTGATGCTGATGGTGTAACCCGTTGTCTCTGCTCCAGTGATGACACGGGTTATGTTCTGGTGGTCAAGGGCCTATCCAATTACTAAGACCGGCCAGATCAACAAGAAGGTGGCTTTTATTGAGCTTCTGGCTACTCACAGGATTTAGTATGCGAAGGACGCAGAAGTTGATCAGAGTTCCAAACCAAGATCTCTTCCCTTCCATACTTAACCAGGTTCTTGTAGTTTAGGGGCTTTTTGAATTTTGTATATAAATTAATGCTGTTCATGTTTCTCACAACTGTAGCCCCAAAAATGTCTCAGATATATACATTTTCTCAAGGAAAAAAGGCAACCATGTGTCAAAATAATATCAGATGATTTATGAACAGTTTTATTGTAAGGAAAGGAAAGAATAGTCTTTTTGTTATTGAAAGACTCCAAAAATTTCAATTAGCGTGGCTCAGGATATGTTTGTTAAAACACGTACAGGAGGCAACTTTAATATCAACCAAACAAAACCAAACCAGAGTGTGGTGGCCAAAGGACATAGTATGATATTATTAAGAGAATCATGTTGACACCTACAAAATGTTTACAAAATGACGCAGATTCTAAAATGAAAAGACAAGATCCATCACAATGGAAGATGGAGACTTGTTTTTTTTCCCCTGCAACAAAATACAGCTAATTCACTTAGTTTGATCCTTGATCCAAAGAAAATATCAGAATCCTTCTGCAAGTCTGCATGAACATGAATCACAAGCACTGCAGCACAGAATACCAAAACGCACGTCGTTGATTAAACCTCCTTTGTAGAAACATAAACTACAATATCAACAAGCATCCAATTCAGCTAGTCTCAACTAAGAGTAAGGGAACCATGAACCATGAAACAACTGCTCTTCTAATCCACCTGAATCATAATTTTGCCTGAACAAATCTACATCGAAATCGATGCCTAAACTTGCTTCCTCCATATGAGCCAAGCTTCCTGGTATGTTAACCTGTGGTTGTGTCTGTAATTGGTTAGGGAGATTAGGCAGCCTTCCCCATTGTTGGTTCTGAGCATCAATGCCGTATGATTCTTCTACAGACCAATTATGCAAGTTGGCAAGTCTGTTCTCCTGCATTTCGATATCATTTGAAGGCCTAATGTCATCTGAGCAAGCATAACTATCTATGAAGCCATTATGGCCATTTAAGTTCGTAGTTTCTACAAGACCTCCCTGCAATTCTTGATCCGTCATTGATCCCTTAACATCGTTAGATGGCTCAAAATCGGCTGTTACCAGATTGCTGGCCACATTTATCTGCTCATTATGCATATAGTGGCAGCTATCATCTGGGTCATTGTGACTTCCGGATTCCAGAATCATGGGAAATTCTTTCTCCAGGGCTTCGTTCGTTACCGGTTTCTCAACATTAACATCCTCTAAAGGGTTGCAATCATTTCTTCCATTGCATTCCACATCTACAAGCTCATTATTTAAGTAATCGTTGTTGGACCTCAAAAGAGTCTCCAAAGATTCCCAATCATTATAATAAGGCTTCCCATCAGGTACTGAATCAAGATTCACAACCTGTAGCTCATTATGCAAGTAATCAGGCCTACGGTTGAAGCTTTCATAACTCCCGGTTTGAAAAACACTTGTTTGTTCAGCATCATTTCTGGCAAGCTCATACTCAGTTTCCGATTCGCATTTCACATCTTTAGCTTCTCTTAGAGTAGCATCTGACACCTCAAAATCCTGTGTCGCAAAACCCACAGAACAATCATTTTCTTGCTTCGGCTCTTTATGCACACAATCCTCAAAGAAGTCAGATCTTTCCTTCGATTCGCCTACCACAGATCGAGAGCTTTCCATAGCACACTTGCTGCTCATGTCCAATCCCTCTGCCTCATCCCCATTATTATATGTTGTTAAAGACTCATATGATGATGATGTTGTTTTAGTTGTTCCAGAAGACACAGAATTAGAATACTTCTTCAATTTCATAGTGTTTTGTGGAAAGTTGAGCCTGGCCAAACCACCATACATGGCCCTTGCAGCTTCATCATAAGCAAAGGCAACACGCCACTAGAATTATTTGGTTCTCGAATTTCAGCTACCCACTTGCCCCAAGTCCTCTGCCTAACACCTCTATAAACACAATCTGAGTTCTCAGGCCCTCCTTTCCCTTTCATACACCCCTTTTTGGAACCCTTAGATGGGGTCCTCTGAGTCTTTTTCACTCCATCTTTTGCAAGATCAAATCTGTCATTGTAATTCTTCCATTTAGCCAGAGTGTCCTCTATTGAATTACAACCATTACGTCTCTTGCGCAATTTTTTATCCCTGAAAGAAAACAAGTACCAAAAAGAAAAAAAATTAGAAGTTTCTTTAGACTGGTCGAAGTTTCATGAAATTCAAAGTTGGTTCTGTTAACTTTTAAACAACCAACATGGACAAAATTTACAGGCCCCCAGAAAAAAAGACTTCAAAATTTCCCAAAACTTCCAATTTCTCATAGTACACAATCATAATGGAGAAAGATAACAAAGTAGAGGAACCAAACACAAAACCCCAGATGGGAAAGATGAAAGAAACCCCATTATAAAAGAAGAAATGAAAAGATGCCTCAAAGAACTCACCCGTCAGAAGCCTCAGACGTCATGGGAACTCAGAAAGATGTCTGCTTTGCTCTTCTCTTTTTGTGGGTCTGCTTATTCTACTCTTCTCTCAGGCTTCCTTCTTGTTATGTGTAAAAACTGATAAAGGGGTTTATCTAGGGTTTAAGTACGCGTTTAGTCTTTTGCCTCTTGAGCAAGGTTTTGAGGCGTTTGACGAGTTTGGTTTATCTGTTGTCGGCCAGCCAGTCAGGAGGCCCCCTGCGGCTGCTAATAAAGCAAGCCTGTCGTCACTATGACTTGGGGACGAAGGCAAACTCTGAGATACTCCCGAAAAGGATATGTGTGAAATGATGACATGGACAATTCCTTTTGTGACACGTAGACTTTGTACCCTGTTTTGTCCCATCGTTTTCTTGCCCACGAAGACTTCTGTTTGCAATTTGTCCGTGCTCTCTCACAGTTCGCTGATTTCTTTTATGTTAGTTTAATTGGCAGTTGGTGCTCCAATATAAAGCTGGTTTAATAGTAATTAGAATTTAATGCACCTCTGTGTTTTTTGGTTACGATGCATGCACATCTGTTAGATTAGGAAGAAACTAGTGCAAGAGTCCTAATCTTCGGTCAAATAAAAATATTTGAATACGAAGTGCCGTGGACGCCGCAAAAGGTTATTTATTGAGACAATAAAGAGTCGAGAGTTCAGCTTTTCTGATTTCAAAACCCAAAAAATAAAACATAAAAAGGTTGATTTGTTTGTTTAATAAATTTGTTCCTCATAAGACCTCTAACTCAATGAAAAAAAAGCTTAACTTGCATACTAAAGGTATTAGGTTCGAATTTTCACTACATTATAGTTTATGTGTGTGATAAATCTCCCTCCCAACCATGTAGTTTAGACTATCTCTTGTACCCAAAAAAAATAAAAAATAAAATCCCCATAAATATACTTTATTATACTAAAATGGTGCATTAAAAATGTTTTGGTCCTATTTTATCCGAAATTCATGATGTTTATGCTTAGCTTTTTACCCCAAAAAAAAAAAAAAGTAGGGAGGTTTCATAGCTTGTAACAATAGCTTTCAAATAATAAAAAATATTTTAATATAGATAACCAATAGTGAGGGAAACTGAATAGAAAGTAGGAGGTTGTTTCTTGCAAAATTCTTCGAATCAATTCATTTAACTTATCTTATATTTATGAGTTTAGACACAAAAAAGTGGGAATAAGGTTTCCCCTTTTTAAGAGATGGGACTTGTTGGATTGGAAAGCTTGACCATAGTGAACGTGAACAAGCCTCCCTATATAATATATATATATATATATATATATATAATCCCATCAACCATTGTCACACAGTCATACTGTTGACAAATCACAATACAATGAATTGCTTTCCAATCACAAAAGTACCACCAAATCAGACGCGTGTGACCCCAAAAAAGAAGAAGTAAAAAAAGACAAATTTTGGAAATCTTCTTTGTTCAGTTTTCTGGTAGGCACAAGGCCCAAACATGGAATCTACATGGGCCTTGAGCAACCCAAACAAACAGTTTTCTTTTTGGGTACTCATGGCGGGACGAAGGCCCAAATATGGTCACTTTACTGCTCTCTGACCATTACTTGTAATTTTATGCCTTACATTTTTGACACAATGACAAACTCTTGTGATGGGAGCTCCCTTTGGTTGGCGGTTTTGCTGGTAATATGGGAACCGGACAAATCTTACAAGCTAATAATCATGGCCCTTGAACTGGTGGGCAAGGAGGGTCCTTCCCTAATTTTCTGAGGTGGCAATTGTGCTGCTTATCGTCGGCCTCTTGAATTTGTCGTTGGCATATGCTTGAATGAATGAAAGGAGAAACAAACATAGGCAGGCGAAAGATGAAAATATTGCACAATCCATTTGCTTTCTTCTTCTTCCTTCTCTTATAAATGGACAAGATACAGTAAGTGCACATATAACTGAAAGGGCACAGGGTATCAAATCATCCCCATCTTCAAGACCACGAAAACATGCCACAACGTAATTAGTACAAGAAAACACTTCCATGGTTCCAACAGATCTTCATCTCAAAAGTCGCCAACTGCATGATGCATTGAAAGCAATGCCATGGCAACTAAATCTTACATATACATGAGCTACCACACCATCAAGCCGGGCACTTTCCTGTATGCTGTGATTCCAACAGAAAACCAAGACAAACGTGAGGAGCAGAACGCTACACAAGGATTCACCGACTTAATTACTCCTCGTTTTTGCAGGGGAGAATATAGCTTCCCACCATGAAGGATTCACTGATTCCAGAACAAGATAAAGAAGACAAAGGTGAGGCACATAAAGCTGAATTTGTGGGCTCGCTTAAAATCTCTTCAAATACATGAAAATTGGTAGTCATGAAATTTGTGGACTGATTTTTAATGGTAGTCAACCTACGACAACTCCAAATACATGAAAATTGGTGCTAGAGAGACCTTCCGTTCATCATTTCATTCACTTATAAAACGATGTGATTCCACACAAGAGTAATATTATTAGTTATCATCGTGGAACAGAAATTGAGGGTCCGCAGATAAGGGGAATAAAACATTTGAAATACAACCATTACAAGACAATTATTAACAATGAGGTGCCCAATTTTCGTATAGAGGGTGCAGAGAGGCTGAGACAACAATCTACTGTGAAGGTAATGCCTGTGCATGCATTTCTCACCTAAAAATGAAAAAGAGATTGTTAACTATAGTGGACAACATACCAGGTACACTCGACAGAAATCTAGAAATAGCGGTCCCAGGCAGATGATATGTGTTGGGGTTAATGGGAGTGGACAAGCTCAGCTACCAGAGAAAGCCTTCAGAAAAGAACCCTAAAAGGAACTAGAATCTGGACTGGAGTAAGAAGAGATATGTTGAAAGTACAGAAATGCTAAATTTGTAAATGGAAATACTGCAAGATTCAATGTGTAAAAAAAGGAACACAACATTATGTGGAAGAAACAACGATCAAACAATTTAAAGAGACAATGCAAAACATGAGAGCGACGTGCAATGTTGAGCTTTGTACTAAGACTTTACACAACATTAGTAATGTCAGATAATTCACAAATATAGGTTCATTGCTTCACTCAATACATGAAATAAACTAAACAAGAAGGAAAAAGAAAATTACCCTGACATCACCACAAAACACCATCGGCAAGAATCAAGCAATTACTCCAACGCAGCAGACCTTGCAGCTTTGTACCTTAACTTCCTATTGAGATTTTCCTGCCAAAATTTGCCAAAAGAATGAATTCACAACTGCCAAATATGGTATGCAGAGCACACACTTAGCATTGAAAAAGAAAAAAGAAAAGAAAAAAAGAATAATGGCATACAAGCTCAATATTGCAATTGATAAATTCATGACAATTTGACTGCATTGACAAAATCCCATCCAAATTTGCACGCAATTTCCCGAAAATGTTCTAAATTCAGTAAAGGCTCACCTGCTCAAGAACCTTAGCGGAGCTCTTCTCAACGAGCGTGGTCAAGCTTTCAATCTTCACAAGCATTTTCTCATACAAATCCTCCACGCCAGTCGTGTAATTCGCAGCCTCCGAACCCATTAGCCTACTGAGGCTCCCAACCTCCAACCCCTCACTGCACATATCCAACTCGCTCTGGTCCTTGTTAACTTGCCTCAACTGATCCAAACTCTCCTCTCCTCTGTCCACGATCATCGGCGAAACCCTCAGCTCGAATGGCAAATTGGGAAAAGGCGAGTTGGGGCTGAAGTTATCGTACTGCGCTCGAAACGCCGGCCCAATGTTGACGATTTGAATTGATTTGGGCTCGAAGGAGTGTTTGGATGCACGGAAGTGGTAGGCCCGGTACTCGTGGGTGTGGATGGTCTGATCGGTGATCGGAGAAGCGAAGAGGAGAAAGAGGGAAGGAACGAGATTAGGGTTGGAGGGGCCTTCTGAAGGGTTTTGGATTGGGAACGTGAGATTGGGGTTGGAGGAGAGAGCGTTGGAGACTGAGAATTCTCTGAGAGAGGGACGGAGGTGGGTTTTGCGGCGACCGGAGAACCAGCCGAGGAGGTGGGCGGAGGGGGATTGGGCCTGGGCCTGGGCTA